AGATTTCTCTAGTCACTGATCCGGCATGACGTCGGTGTCCTTATCACCTTCCACTGGCCTCTCACTAGATAACCAAGTGGGAATTGTGGAACATGATGTACGATTCTGCAGAACTTCCCCAGTGCTTTCAGATGCCTGAGCAGTTCATTGTGTCTGCTGACAGGAGCTCAGCAGTAAGCTGGGAGCTGAGAGACCACACCCCTGCATGAAAGAAGCTGTTCTTCAACTCTGCTTTCAGTCTCATCCCCCTCTGGTGTGTGATTTTCTTCTATACATCCTTTTCCATGTCTCTGCAGTTCTGTGAGGTCATCACTGCCTTTCTCTTCAACTGTGTGTCTCTGTCCTCCACGACATGGGGAGCCCCTGAAGGCAATGGCCATGATTTTACTCACCTCCCCGCTCCCACAGTCTTTCATATGGACTCATCCGATGTTCAGGGCTTAATCAGTAAAAGAATCCTTTCTAGGATGGGTATGTCTCTAAGGAATCGATGTGTAGTGTTTTTTGAGAACTCAAGTAACAGATCACTTACATGTGGAAGGGAGTAAATCTGTGTTCTGTGTCACTCCATGGAAGTCTGCTCTGTCTCACTGGTAGCTAATTTTTTTTTTTTTTTTAACAAGCTAATCCTTGTGATTGTAATTTCTCAGTTTGTTCCTTCCAAGTTTGCCTCAGCTCTCTCCCAAGTTCCAGTTGCTTTCTCAGGGTCTTTCTCGGACTGTGTCACCTTGAAGGAATCTAAACTAAACTTCATTATCAAACCACTTCCTTCTCCATTCTTCATTGTCTCAAAATACCCCCCAAACCATCTTGTTGTATTGGTAGGAGATTTGTCTCTTTCCTTGTCCCTTGTGTTGGGTAGTCACTGAGGGCAGTTAATTCTATCTTCTCTTTATCACTGGAGCTTCTTTGTTCCAGAAGCCACATCAGTGGTCCTTGGTACACCATAGCCTCTTTGCCACACCATCCCTGAACTGGCTTTGCAAAGGTGACCAATGCTGTTGTCGTGTTAAAAAAAAAAAAAAAGCTGTCTGTTTCCATCTTTATCTCCAAAAATAATAGCTCTTCCTTTTATATTGTTCTAAGCAACTTAGAAGCTTGCCTTCATCTTTTCTTTCTTCTTTTTTCTATATTCGATCTGCCAGCCATTTCTGCTTTCAGAATTTATGCAGAAGCTAAGCAGGACTCCACAACACCGCTACCAAGCCAGCATCATCTCTTACTAGGATCAGTGTGATGATCTCCTTGTCTTCCTACAGTGTGACCTCTGAGCCTCTCCACAGTAACCTGGGCCAGCACTGTCCCCTGCAGTCCTCTGTCTGCTGTGCGTGCTCTGCCACCCCAGCCTTCTGCATCATCATTCGCCTTCCAAGCCGGCTTCTGCCTCATGACAAATGCTTTCCTTTCAGCTATCTAAACAGCCATTTTTCCATGCTTCCTTTAGGTCTCTGGTAGATGTCATTTTAGCAAGAGACCTTCCTTTTTCCCCAAATGTCAGGATTCATCGCACTGTCTGTTCTTTGGGCTCCTTTTTCTTTTCCCACATGTCTGCAGAGTGCTTACTTTAAAACCTACTGCCATCTGGACATTTGGTGGTCTGTTTTGCTTGTTTCATCTTCCACCATTGAGCAGAGATGCTCCTCTTACCGACTTGCCCCAGCTCCTAGAGAATGAGCGTCTCTACCCTCAAACATGTTGTCTGTTCTCAGCACACCACACCACAGTTCATTCACCTCTTCTTCACTGTGGGTCATCGTCATAAACCCCAGCACTGTGGTATAACTCTCCAGTCTAAAATTCTTTAATAACTTTCTATTGTCATTAGAAAAGAGTGTGATAAGCTTAATGTACAACAGGTCGAGATCTGTTGGTTATAACTGGCCGGGTCTTAACTAATCTACCTCAGGTTCAGACAGAAATTTCCCAGTCCAAAGACCAAAACTTCCAGAGGGTAAGATAGCTAGATACAATGAGTGTCCATTCCTGCTTTCTTCCTTGCCTACTATTTGTAGCTTTGCCTGACTCTGCTTAAAAAAAGAATGGCATCTTCCATTCTGCTGCCCTAAGTCCAGCCCTAAGCCCAGCATATTCTTAACACAAAAGATATTCACTGGTGAATGAATGACTACCCAGCCCTTTTCCCTTTGCCAGACTTAACCACCTATGATACAGTAAAGCACTACCTGGTGTTGAACACACCGCTTGAGGAGAACATCGCCACTCATGGTTTGTCCAGGTAGGTGGCTATTTTGAGCCATTTTTGTTTTCTCTATTTCTCTGTTTAATTTTACTTTTAAATATGTGTATGCATTTGTGTCTGTTTGTGGCCATATACATGTGAGTGCAGGTGACTCCTGAGACCCAAAGACTATATCATATCACCTTGAGCTGGAGGTACAGGTGCTAGGACCTACACACTCTTCTTCCGTAAGAGTAGCAAGAGCTCATAACGCTCTGCCATCTCTCTAGACCCATGCATGGCCATGTCTTGAATTGTTGGCATCAGTTCTAACTTTGGGGATCTTTCGGTCAAGAACATTATGCTATGGTCCTGAGAGAAGGATGATGCTATGTTCAAAGAGTCATTTTCTTCAAGTTTGTTGCTACTAAAATGTGGGAGGGACAGATAAAATCATGGCGTATTTTAGATTAAACTCAGCAAAGATTTGTAACATTTGGCTGCCCCAGGGGGCAGTTTCTGATGATGGTCTCTTTAACCCAATTCAGCAGATATGTGTGGCCTTCTGGGCTGATTGTCCCAGTCTGGGTCTTGCAGTGGCCCTGCCTAGGGAGCTCACCAACAGGGAGAACTAGACAAGTGTGAACACTATGAACAGTAAATAAGGAGAGAAAAGAATAAGTCCATACAGGCCTCAGAGGAGTGAAGAAAAACAAACAAAAAATCAAGCGTAGAGGGAAGGGTTATAGCAGAGGGTGCAGAATTAGCCATGAGTGCTTGAGGGATGCAGCTCTTCAGCATTCCTTCTCTCTGACACACAATTCCAACTTCTCCATCAGAATGGGGGACTTTTGGTGTCTGCTGTCCTTCATGTCACAGGGATTTGTCTCAGCTGGCTCCTGGACTTGTTGCCAAAGACCGAAAAATCTTCAAACCCCCTACACTATTGAGATGACCTTAGACATGCAGAGTAATATGAATATTCTCAAGTTGATATTGGAGTTACACTCCCTCCTTCCCTGCCTACCCGCTCTCCCCCCCACCCCCATCCGTGTGTGTGTGTGTGTGTGTATGTGTGTGTGTGCCAACAATATTCCTTTGTACATGCTACTTTCTGGCCTTGTAACACCTCCTCCAGATCTGCACTGACAGGTGACTCAGTCACCCCTACAGCCTTTCCCTGCCTGCCTGTCATGTGTTTAATTGGTTCACACATGTCATGTTTGCCCATTCTGCTTTTTCCTAGCACTGGTCAGTATCTGAAGACAGCCATTTTTCCCTGTCCTCTCCCTGAGTAGCATTTAGACGTACCCAAAAAAGGATTTCCTTAACCATTTATTATAGTAGTAGTGGGGGGGGGGCAGGTGTGGGGGTGTAAATGTGTGACTGTGTGCCATGCAGGAGTGTGGGGGTCAGAGGACAGCTTTCAGCAGTCCGCACTCCCTTCTGCTATGTTTCATCAAGCCTGCCTGACAAGCACCTTCTTTTCCCAAGCTATCTCAAAGGGAACAATCTTATCTCTCTTGCCCTACATGAAAGGAAGCCTGGAACCAGGAGGCACATATCTGCTGGCTGGCTATGCTTTAAATATTTCCTGTCCCTTTACATAATTAAGCATTAATTGTAATCTCAAAGAATACTTCACACGCCATTCTTTTTCAGTATTAAATGCCTTTTTTTAGAATTTGGCAGCTACTTAAATATTCTCTTTAAATTTCATTTCTTTGTGTCTACAGTTTGTGTTCTGGACTCGTAGCTTCTATTCTGGGAACACCAGCTGATGTCATTAAAAGCCGAATAATGAACCAACCCCGAGACAAGCAAGGAAGGTAGATAAAGCCCGTAGTGCCCATGTGCTGGAGTATCAGCCGCACTCTCGGTTTTTCAACGATGCTTTCTTGTAGGTCTATATGATAGAGATGCGTTTGTGTGTTTTCCTGTCCAATGGAGCAATTGGTCACATGAGATTACCTTCTCTTTGTCTGATGCACATATACTAAACCTTTGGGGACGTGAGTGAAAGGTCATATTATTTAGACACGAAGTAGTCACTGTGGCTTTATTGTTTTCCAAGCGTTTTGAAAGCTTACTCTGCTAAGAATTTGCAGACCGCTCTGTTCAAATCCTGGGCTCTTAGGTAACAGGATGTGATGTATTATAAAACAGTGTGTTCTCTCTGGAAGTGGTTGGATGCAGTGAGCTCAGAGAGGACCAAGGGGCGATAGGAAAGAAAGAATCCACAAGGAAATGCCTGTGCTCAAATGAAGATACCTATGTCAGTGAATCGCTGATGCTCTTTGTTCTAAATAAGCAGACAGCATTTGATAATAACCTTCCCTAGATGGCTTTATTTGCATCTCTGTTTACACAGGAGGAAATGTGACAGTGCTCTCATTCTCCTTGCAGGGGACTTCTGTATAAGTCATCAACTGACTGCTTGATCCAGGCTGTCCAGGGGGAAGGCTTCCTGAGCCTGTATAAAGGCTTCCTGCCATCCTGGCTGAGAATGGTAAAGATGGGGTCTTCTGTTTTTTTTTCCTTTATTGTTGTTTTTTTTTTTGTATTTAAATTACATGTACCTTACTTTGCATTTTCTCTTATGGTGAAGGGCTTGGCCCTGCCACCACAACAGGCCCATCCATCCTTTGTTTTTAAAATACTTTTTTAGGTTTTTGTTTTTTCACCTGTCCTTAGAATCATATTTCCTTTCTCGACAAAGCTAAGTGATCCATTATTTATTAATAAATAGGCTGACAATCTGTTGTAGATAAAGACACACTATTTATGATTTACTTATTTGCTGTCTTCTTATCTAACACACCCTGGGCTGGGGTGTATACACAGATTTCAGAATGGAGCTCTTCTGAGGAAATTTTGCTGTTTCAAAACGTGTTATTTTGGTGACAGAGTTATCCAGGTGTTGTTAGCACAGAGACCCTGCTTTAGAAGAAGGCGGTGTGCCAATGCTTCTGCCATTTACTACAATGCAGTGAGACGCAGCAGTAGAGTCAGTAATGTAGTAAGGCTAACTAAAAGCAAGGCACTTTTGAAATATGGATGAGCTGTGGAATTAGAAACTCAAACAATCAAAACTTGACATAATAGAATAATAATACATAAATATCTCTACCCATGTTTGAGTGCATGCCTTGTAGTAAGAGCTTGTCCTTAATAAAAAACTGTAAATAGCAAGTTAACAGGAAGAATTGCTAGTGCCATGGAGATACACAGGGCGTAGGTCAGGTCTACACTGGGGAATTGAGAAGGCCTCCTTAGAAAAGACTTTTGAACTGAGATTTGAAGAATGACTAAGGCTAGGCCATGCAAAATGGTGAGAAAACATTCTCCAGAGAGGGGTGGAGGTATACAGAGAGCCTAGGGGTAGGGAGTAGGAAGCCCAACTGGCCAAGATGCAGAGACCTAAAAGAGGTGAGCAGAAGGAGAGAGAGAGAGAGAGAGAGAGAGAGAGAGAGAGAGAGAAGGCAGGGAGCAGCTGAAGTGGGCCCTGTGAACCATGCATGCTGGGGTGGCTTGAGGCTTAGCCACTTCTGCACTTTTAAATCTAAACTCTGTCTTCCCTGAGTTGAGAAAAAGGCCTGGGGTGATCAATGAAGCTTAATGGTGGAGCAGAAGGAAGTCAGGCAGTGAGGGAAGAGGATACCTTTAATGGGTATTTGGGGTACAGGAGACTGATGAGCTGAGGATAGCAGAATGGCCAGAGAAGATAAGGAGAAAAACAGGCCCTGGACAATTGGTGCTGACATCAGTTTGATCAAAAGGCATCATTTGCAGGGCAAGAAAACTGTAGATTCAATCAATTTAATTTTTGATACAGATAGTTCTGGGATGCCACTAGGACATCTGAATGGACAGATATATAGAAGACTACCTTCCTATCAGAATTGGATCAAAACCAGAATCTTAGAGGGGAATGTAGGGATGGAGATGCAGGGAGTGTAAGTACTGTCCACTTACAGATGGAAACCGGGAATATGTGCTTTCCATCACTATGGGATAGTAGCTGGTTATTAACAAGAAAATTGACAGCAAAAATTCTTAGCAATGTCTGATAAAAATACGTTAGTCAGCCTTTCATTGCTGTAACAAAATACCTAACACTGAACAAAACAACCCGAAAGAAGAGAAGAGTTTATTTGGTCTCAGGGTTTCAGAAGTTCCAGTCTACGATCAGCTGACTCCACTGCTTTTGTGGGCTGGTGAGGCAGAGCATTCCTGGCAGGAGCGTGTGTCAGAGCAAAGTTGCTCATTTTATGGTGACCAGGAAGTAGAGAGGGCTCTACAGAAGGGACCAGGGACTGGTGCACCCTTCAAAGATTCCCCCCTACACACACCCTGCCCAGGAAGTAGAGGGACAGGTTCACACTTCAAAGACTACCTAGCACACACCCTGTCCAGGGGTTGTTGTAAAGTGCTTGCTGTGTAAACATGAGGACCAGAGTTGGATCCCCAGCACCTATGTAAAGAATCAGGTGTGTGGTATGCACCTGTAACCCAAGCCCTGGGGGATGTGAGCAGATACATCTCAGGGACTCACCAACTGGCTAGTCGAGCAGAAAAGAGGAGCTCCAGGTCTCATTGAGAGATGGTATCTCAAAAAAACAAGGTAGAAAAGCATTTGAGGGAGACACCCATCCAACACTGACCGCTGCCTTCACACACACACACACACACACACACACACACACCCACACACACACACACACACACATATCCTAGTGAGCACACCTGCACACACATACATACAACACCCACACACTCATGGCACCCCGGGGACCTACTTTCTCCAACCAGGCAACCTCCTAATGAATGAGTTAACTGTCTATTGATAAGGTCAGTGCCTCCATGATCCCATCATGTTTCAGTAGTGCCACCAGCTGGGGACCAACCCTTCAGCATAAAAGCCTTTGGGGGAAACACTTTAGATTCAGACAGTGATACACAGTGTACAAAAACTAATTTAAACAATGAAACCCCACCTTATTTTGGTGGTCTTGATTTGCCTAAAATAATTTTAAAATTGAGTATTTCTTATTTAACTATAGATTTGAGGGAAGGGCAAGGCTTACACAGAAAAGGAGCTATTAGAGGTACTGGTCACACTCAAGAATAAGATGCTCATTTTGTCAAAGGAAATGACAATGAGAAATAAGTAGTTGAAAGTTATAAAAACGGTGAGCATCAGTGGAATCACTTTGTACATCTCTAGTGCTCTTCTCATCCCAACCGTGGCTTAGCCCATTGAACTCTCCCAGCTATCTGTGCTGTGAGCTGCTGTCATATCCTCCCTTTTATAGAGGAGGAAATAAAGGCATAGCACCCTCGTAGATTGACCAAGTTAGGCCATTAACTGGTATTTCTTAGCATCAACCCCAGGCAGTGTGACATTGGAGGACATCTTTCTAAGGAGCTTGTCTCTGTAAGTGGCATGAACAATACTGTGTGGGAGTACGGATGACACAGAAAACATGGCTGTAACCTTTAGCTGTCTGAAGTCCACAAAAGGCTTCAAAGGGTTGCCATTGTTCTGGGCTATCATGATTCTATAGGCTTTTGTCAAACAAGAGAGGAAGGAGTAACATGAGCATCAGCATCGTGTGTGGAAGTAGAGTGACACAGGCGTTTTCTAAAGCACCTACTATGTGCTAAGTGCTTCACACACAAGAATCGTTTCTAAATTCGTACAAGAACACAGTAAGGCAGACATTGTCATTTACATTTTCAGGTGGAAACCAGGTCTCTGTGTGTAAGAGATTTGCTCAAGTCCATATGGCTGTGGCAGAGCACAACTGTCCTCCCAGCTGTCCTTGACTCTGACTCTTCTTTCCTTACTGGTTCAGTGCACTGAGTTCCTCAAGATCTTTTAGTTAGTTGATAGAAATCTTGAAAGAATAAAGAGAGATGGGGGCTGGAGAGATGGCTCAGTGGTTAAGTGCTTGCCACAGAAGTGTGTGGCCCGAAGTACAGATCCCTAGAACACACATAAATGTCATCTCTGTGTGGTGGCCTGCTGTAATTCCAGTCTCTGAATGCAGAGGTAGGGATCCTCAGAATAAGTGGGCTAGCCAGACTAGCCATATCAGTGAGCTCTGTGTTTGATTGAGAGACCCTACCTCACTGAATAAGGCAGAAGAGCATTTGAGGATGATTCCTGACATCAACCTTGGCTCCTTCCACATGCATGCATGTACCACACACACACACACACACACACACACACACACACACAGAGTTCACATACAAAAAACTAGAAGGCAGGGGTGTATAGAGATGGAGGGCTGGTACCAAAGAAAGGCTCCCCACCCAACAAGCATCATCAGGGTGCTTGCTATTGCCCTGTTGGTTGCTGCTATGTACGACTGAACCCAGACATTTGACTCATAAACACCTTCAAGTATCCAGCTAGCTTCACTGCCGCTTAGGATTAGGTCAGAATAGCTGGTGTATTCACACCACACAACACATTTGTTAAGTCGCACAGGCAACTGATACCTCTGGGCCAGCATGTTCTTCATAAATTCAAGCCCTATGTGAGCCCAGGTTAGCACTGGGAGGTCGCTTGCTAAGCATCATGGCGGGAGGGGCTTATTTGTAAATTCAAGATGGAAGAATATCAAGCCAAGAGAGCTTTTGAGTATCCAGCTGTGCAGAAACAGGAAGGGGAAAGGACTTCAGTGGGCTCAAGACAAACCCGAGGCAGCAGAACAGGACTGTATGCAGATGGATCATTGACAGTAGTCACAACAGTGCTGGCGGGGAACTCAGTGAGTCCTGCCAGCATGGGTGTGTGGAGGCTCAGGCAGTCCCATGCATTAGCGTCCCACAGGCTTTGGCTACATGATCTCTCTCTTGAACTCACTTAGTACCCCACTAAACCCCACCACAGTCCTTCCCTCCAGGCAGAAGAGGCATGTTGCTTCATCCAGCCCCTGCAGTTTCGAACCTGTAATACTGCATTCATTATGAAGACCAAAGCTGACACAACCACACCATTAGCGATGGCTGCAGGGTCCTGCCTCCTTGGTGTCTCTGCAGTTTCCCCTACTGCTCCATTTCTGATGACAGGGGAATATGACACATTCACAGCTTCGCGCTTATGATTTCAGCTGTGCCTATGCACATCAGCTCATCGCTACTTGGTAAATCCTCAGTCTGCCAAGGCAACATGTTGAGAAATTCCAAACATAGGCATCTGCATTCCTTTACAAACACACTTAGCAAATTCTGTTTAGATTCTAGCTGGTTAACTCTGCTCTGCAATGGGAATCCTCTCTAGGCACTGATCAGAACCAAAGTAGAGAGGAATCCCATGCAAGCACCCTTTCTCTGTTATGCCCACTTGGTAGTGTTCATGTCTCCATCCCCATCCTTCCTGGTTCCTGTGGGTGTGGTTATTCAGATTAAGGTCAAGCCATTCTGAGCCAGGAGCTCCTTTTTCTATGTAGTGTGAACTTGCTTGTACAGATTATAAGACATCTGGGACTGAGATTTTTATGACCCAACCCTTATAGGCTGATCTTTGTCTTCCTCCCTTTCTAAGTGTCTAATTGGAAAGCAGTTTAATACAGAAGTCAGGGCGTCCCACATAGAAAGAACCCTGTGGCCTAGTTCCACACCACATCTGTGGGCAGTGGACTACTGAACCTCAGCATTCTCATCTGTAAAATGGAGATATCTTTTTCTCTATTGAAAGCTGTTTTTAGGGGACTCTGTGCTCAACATGACGTGAAAATGCTTTGTAAGTTTCGAGGTGATTTACAAAGGTAAACAACAAGAGATTTGTGGGGCCTTTTGTTTCTTTACAGGTGGGTTGAAAATGACTATCACTCAAAGATGTATATGCAATATGTAGAATATTTGTAATTGCTTTAAAATATGCACTAACCTCTTTGGTTAATCTTTCAGACCCCTTGGTCAATGGTGTTCTGGCTCACTTATGAAAAAATCAGAGAGATGAGTGGAGTCAGTCCATTTTAAGCCCTTAAAGCCAGAGTGCTCGTTGTTACTGAACAAGGGCGTCTGCAGCCCACGCTCCCTATTATTTCTACCTCTTTAGGAAGATACTTTACTCCACAGAGACTGCAATTTACAAGGGGCAGCACTTTCTATTTCTATGAAAACCAAGTTCTCTCTGACTCCACTCTTTTTCTAAGAGTGATGTGTCTGGTCCCAATCTCTCAAGACCAACCACTGAGACCCAGTGTGGTGTTTCCTAAAGAATGGAACCTGGACCACTTTGACCTTGGACCAGAAGGTTTAGACTTTGAGCTGCTGATCCCTGCAAAAACATCTGCCTAGAGGAGTGCCAGAGGGAGCCAGCCCCTCAGACCTGGATAGACTTCAGCGACGTGGAAGACTGTAGTGCTTAGGAAACATATATATCCACAGTGTGCGCCAGTATTCATTGTTGCAGTGTGACAACTCACTCTTCTGTTATTAGACTGCACATATTGTAAACTACAGGGAGGCAAGTGAACGTTCAAAAGTAAACATTTTGAGTTTCCCTAGTGCTGAAAGAAGTTGCTTTACAGCTTCTGGCAAGGAAGGCAACTGGAAGTGATGGATTACAAGGACAGCAGCCCCCTGCTGTCAGGGCCCCACCTTTACAGATGTGCTCACTGGTTGCCACTCCTCCATGCACACTAGAACCTAGTAACTTACCCTGACAGCCACAGACTGTCTCAGTGAGAGCAGAACCTTCTTGCGCCGTGTGTAGCATACCCCATTATAACCTACATTTGTCAGTAGCTCTGAGAATCGTACCAAATGGAAACACAGCATATTTGACTGAGATTCAGCTCTCAGGGTCATGTTAGGAAGCACCTTGTCATGTCATCAGCTCTTCCTGGGTGGTTTTGGAGCAAGACCAGCATGAAGCCAGCTCATTCTGATGTATCTCCTTCTGTCCCTGTCCCCTCTGTCACAGAGAGCAGAGGACAGAGAGAGAACTCAGATGCCATTCTAGAACCTTCAGAAGCCTAAGTATTAGTCATTGAATTTTACTCATACTCGCATAAAACGTGATGAGTGTACACCATCTGTGGTTCATGACAGTCTCTCTGGTCTTTGCATCTAGTTAGTCCCTTTTCTTGTTTTCAAAGGGTTTCTCCAGAGTCACCTGCCCAAACCTGCTTCCCCAGCCACAGACACAGGGAATCTCTGGATGGATGGGCTACAGCTAGGGGTAAAGGCTGGAGATGTTACTAGGAAAACTACGACCACTCAGGCCCAAGGTAGACCTCAGAGCCAACCACATAGATGTCCTGATGGACATAGATGCTGGCTTGCAGCGTGACTGTGTGGATGGATAATCACTGCCATTTTAAAGGAGGAAGCACACTTTTAAAGATCTTTCAATGTGTGTAGCTGTCTCATTTTTCTACTTGCAGAAGGTAGAATTCGATCTCGTTACGTCTTCAGGTTGCTACCTTTCCATTGCGTTTGTCAGTCTGTAATTGAGTTGCTAAATATATATAGTCTATATTACACTATATTATATGCTTAAGTCTCTAAGTATTCTGCTCCACAAACTGAATCACTTTGGGGAAGTTTTGGTTTTCCTATGTTTTGTAATGTTTATGACTAAGTAAAAGATGGAATTAAATAATTATATGCAAACTGGACTATTAAAAATTGGCTTGGCTTTATTCTTTTGGGGGCTTGGGACTGAAACACCACTCATGTACTGACACATTGTTCTTTGGTTTCTAAATCCATGTGCAATTGTTTAAAATCATCCTCTGGGATCATCAGGTTGAACTCTGTCACTTTTCAAGTTTAGAGACTGAAGCCCAGAGAAAGGAGGTTACTCAAGCTGCAACGTGCAAAGCTCCTGATTATTATGGGTATTATAGTGGACCATCATTGTACACTAATAGGTGCCCGAGCAACTTGCATCAGCTTCATGACAACCTGGTCTCAGAGTCTTGAGTCATCCCCAGGGTTTTGTCTTGTTGTGTTTTTTAATGTTGGTTTTTTTTGTCTCACACATCTTCAGTAAATCTGTGTTGCCTGCACATGAAGTTTAGGATTAGATGAACTTGAACACTAAGACTCTGCATCATCTGGCTGCTTGCTGTGTCTCTTACAGATATCCCATTACACCCAGGGTTTACTAGGAAACTTGGCTTCTTGGTACCCACTTGGAATATGCTTGGTCCTTTGCAAAGTGAACACATGAGAAGAATCTTGTCTTTAACTTTCTCACTTTCCTACTGTGGAGCTCTGTGAAACTTCTCAAGTTTCCTGAAGCTCAATATTAATAATTCTAGACATTTTTGTTTCACATTTTTCTCTCATCAAATATTTTTCTTATTGAAAAACTACACATTTTTGTTATTTAGTTCTCTGTTCTTTATAAGCAAATTAACACATATCTAATTAAAGGAATAGCATTTCTTAAGGCTAATTTTAATTAGAAATATTTTTACATTTTATTTTTTTATTTTACATGTGGGGGGTGTTTTGCCTTCATGTGTGTTTATGTACCACTTGCATGTGGTTCCTAAAGAGGCCAAAAGAGGGCATTGAATCCCCTAGAACTTAAAGTTACAGATGTTTATGAGCTGCCATGTGAGTGATGGAAGTTGAGCCCCAGGTATTGTGGAAAAACAGCCATTTCTCTTAACCACTAAGCCATTTCTCTAGCCCTAGGAATAATATGTGTGTTTAGAGAGCTTCAGGCCCTGTTGGATTATAATCCTTCAGGGGTAGGACTAGGTAGATCTTCTGATTTATGTGAATCACTGCCCTCATAGCTGTGTTTATTTATTTTGTTTGTTTGGCTGTCCTCAAGAAAAATTGTTTATTTCTATATATAATGTGCTAGTTTTGGCTTTATTATTTTAAGACTGTAGCTGTCATATAGGTCTGAAATGTCTCTTGCTGTGTTAATTTTTAAAAGGAATCAAATTGGGGAAGAGCTAAGTGAAAAAAAATTGTTGAACCTTCAGATTTTCAAATACATTTATTTGCAATTGAGAGAGTTGCACATTTTTCCCTCCATGAACAAAAACAGATTTCTTCAAGGCGTCTCTTGGGGCAATGCATAATTTTAATATTTGATTATTCAGATATGGGTTTTGACATGACATGGTGACAAAGACCTATAATTCTAGTTCTTGGAAGGTGGATGTAGGAGGATTGGAGTTTAAGGTCATCTTGACTATTTGGTAAGTTCAAAGCCAGATTGGGCTACATGAAAGACCTTGTGTCCAAATCAAACAAAATATTTTGAAAGTAAGCCATTCTTTTCACCTGCTAAACCAAAGCTTCACTTCAGTGCTTACCAAACAACCCCATATGTTACAGAGTACCGATTAACACTGAAGGAAACCTGGCCCTGAATCTGAGAACCTCCTTCAAAGTCTGGGCTCTTCTTTTAACAGAGCAGAACTCAGAAACTGTGGTCTAGTCCTCACATCTCTAGGTTTCTGTTTCTTTATAGGAAGATATGGAGGAGCCATGCTCTGTAGGAGGATATGGAGGAGCCATGCTCTGTAGGAAGTTACAGAGGGGACACTGTTCTATAGGAAGATAGGTAGAATCCCTTTCTCTTTAAGAAGATTAGAGAAGTCACTGCTCTGCGTATGTTAACCTAGCCTGTATCCAAGGGGCCATTATTTTGATATCCTGTTTTTAAAAGAAAAGAAATTCATTTAGATTTGATTTCCCTTAGTGTAACTATTCCCTCATATCCCAAGGCTGGAAATGTTTTATTCAGATTTATGACATAAGCACCTGTAGCTGGTCTGTCTCACGGTGAACTTCTTTTCTCGGGGTAATTTCTTTTAGCAACTGGGATGCATCACCACATAGTATTACCTTTATGTCTACAATAAAATTAAACTCTTTAGTGATGTGTTGAAGGTCCTGCCTCTGACCCCAGCCATTTGTTTCTGGCCTTTTCTCTGCCTGCATTTCCATCTCTTCCTCCTTCAGATGCCCAGCGCTCTGCTTATTTCCCTAGGGATGTGCCCCACTTGTCTGTGCATTGTGCAGCCCTCGTTCTGCGTTCTTCACCTCACTTCCTCCTGATCACTGTGCCCATCCTTCATTTTCATTGGCTGCTTGTTCCAGATTTTGTCTATCAGAAGCTTCCCCTACAAAGTGGATCAAAATACCATTTTGCTCTACATGGAGCGGGGTGAGGGGCGGCTATATGAAAGCCAGGATTCTATAATATTTCTCCAGGAGCCTTGTAGAGGATGTCTGTTAAATCAGAAGGGTTTTTCTCTTTAAGAAAAGGGAAAGAAAAATTTATGGACAGATAACTATATTTTATTTTCCCTCCTTCTTCTGGAGATGATGGTGAGTAGCACCTGGAACGTCATTAAAATATTTACTGAATGCTCAACTTGCCACTGAAAAGATATTGGTCTCAAATGTATTACAATTTTTGAGAAACACTATCTTCCTCAGTTAAAAACTTTCCATGATGGGCCGGCAAGATGAGTACAGGAACCTGCTACAAAGGCTGCCAGACAACCTGAATTCCACCCTGGCACCCACATGTTAGAAAGAACAGACTTCTGCAGCCTCCATACACATATCATGAGGTATTCATGTCCCCACACACCTTCAAAAAATTAAAATGAAATGCCTCCCTTATAAGCTAGGATTGGGGACATTTAAATAATGCATTCAATTAGTTGATTGGTAACTTGAAAAAACCTGGTCTGATTATGTCATTCTCCATTTTAGAGTGGGTCTGGAAATTTGGCTTTCATTTACTCCCAGACAAATGCATGTTTACCCTGCTCAAGCGTCATAGCATTTCTGACCTGTGAGGTGTACGTGATTATTTTTCTCTCCCGTGCTTTACCCCCAACAGGCTGCTAGGATTGCCAGCAGCAGCAGGAGCCACTTTGAAGGTTGATTAAAGCAGATGAAGATGCTCAAAGAGATCTGTTTACTGAAAATGTCTGGTAACAAGCAGCAGCATGTGAGCAAATACAATGTACTATTCTGAGTTTTAAAAATAAATGCTTTAAATGCCTGCTTAATTTAGTGGTTATTTTCTATCAAGGTAACAATAAAAGTTTAGAGATTTTTAAAAAAAGAAAAAAATCTTACTGTCCGTTGTGGAAATTGAAATTGGCTTGATTTGGAGTGTTGAGTTTGAGATATTTAATACTAGCCGAACAGATAGTTACATTTCATGGCTATAATTTTTTGTTTTGTGAGTGTTCCTAGTTCACCAAGTTATCCTGTGCACATGCTCACTGGCAGAGGGAAGGCACTCAGCTGCAGAATGAGGGACACACATCTGCTTTGATTCCTGCACTGCCTGGCTTCCTTCGTCTCCCTACAGGGTTGGAAGCTCCTTTTCTGTCTCTGTGGCCTCTCCTAGCCACCAATGCCTTAAAGCTTTGTACTTTAAAGCTTGTTCATTTTTGCTGTGAAGAAACAGTCTCTATGGCTTCTACACTGAACCTGGCGATGCCAAACCCACAGTAGGTATCCAATAAATCTGCATCTCACCTGTTCTCAAGCATTTGCATATGTTTGAGAGCCAGAGGAGGGGGAGATGCAGGGACTGTTCCATGCAGCCCTATCATCCTTACATGGCCTCATTAGCTACTGCCACATCCACAAGTAAGAATGGTGACCTCAGCACAGTTTCAGCGCTTTGTAGGTGAACTCTTGCCTCCTCCATCGTCCCTAACTTCTCTATTGCTGTAATTTTGTTGATCTAATAATACTATTTAGTGACAATTATATAGAATGTAGTCTTTTGAATTTCATTTTCAATCTCTTAGCTGAAAGGTCTCGGATGGGGATTGAAGAGGGACGTCTGTCAGGGCATTGACAGGGCAGAGGTTCCTCCATCTTGTATTCCTGCTAAAGTCACTTGAGATTAAATTTGGCCCTGCAGTTAAAATGCTCCTCTCTTAAGATAACTGCTTGTGCACACCTCCCCCTGTAGCTGCTGAAAGAGATGCCAGGATGTGGGTTTTGTCTTTAAAAGGTCTTTTGTCTTTGGTCTAAATGCTCAGGGCTATACTTAGGTCCTGAATTTCTGGGTATAGTCACAACTGGATGGAATAAAGACTTCCAGCTGGCTATAAACCATGACTAAATGACCATCTCTGGTGGGGTGGGCTCCCTGTAAGTCAGTGGTTCTCAACCTTCCCATTGCTGTGACCCTTTAATACAGTTCCTCATGTTCTGGTGAACCCCCAGCCTTAAAATCATTCCATTGCTACTTCACAACTGTAATTTTGCTACTGTTAGGAATCATAGTGTAAATATCTGATGTATAGGATATCTGATATGCAACCCCTAAAGGGGTCGAAACACACAGGCTGAGAACCACTGCTATAAGGCATTTAGATGGATCCTTGGGGAGTAGATGTTTATTAGAAGACTTATTTAATGTCGTGGACACCAACAACAGCATAGTGGGAATCTGAGTAGAGGTGGGGGGGTCCCAGCATCCGAAACAGGCAGCATGGTGGGGTCAAGAGGAATCAGAGCCCACAGGACAGAAACAGGATCTCTTCTAATTCTGTCTGATGCTGAGGGTGGTTTACATCACATGCCTGCTGCCAGACCCTGATTTGCAGGCAAGAGGCTGGGAAAAGGGTGCTCACCAATACTCCTTTGATGTAAACTTGCTTCC